TTGACGAGTGTCGTTCAGCACGCTGTCTCGAATTAATACCACGTTGCTCGGAGAATCCATGCCGCTTACGTTTCATATCGCTGCAAATCGTCGTTCAGGCGGTTCATCGCAATATTGCGCTTGCGTTCATTCATATCGTACAGGCCCTGCGCTACGACCCGGGAGACCTCCCCGACCTTGTTGAGCAGATCGTCAGCACGTTCCTTGTTCTCTTTCATCGTCTGTGCACGCCAACGGATGAGACCTCAGTCAACAATGGAGACTCGAACACACCTTCTGGATATCCACGAGTCTCTGGATGCAGCCGGTTATAATGTTAAGATATGGGACATCCTTCGTCAAGTCGCTCAGCAGCTCGAAGATCGCCAGGGCATCTTCGAGGGTCGAGCTCGCGATCTGCTTGATCTTGGAGCTGCCAGTGGCAGTCGCCCGCAGCGGGGTCTTTGTTGCGTCCTTGGGGGGTGTCATCGCAAAAAGAGATGATTACCACCGGCAGGGTGCCCTGTAATATATATATGCCGCTGTAAACCGCATTGCAATTAACAAACAAGAGACACAGGTGACCTTGAGGTGACCTAGACCTTGACAGCGCGTACCTTGCGGAGACTTGCGGAATGAAAGATGGAATTGAAGGGAGCAGACACAGGTTTGTACGAGAGATTCATCGGGCGAAGGACCTTGTCCGCAACAGCTTTCCAAGTCCCGAAATTGTCGGAAATTCGACACCGGCTATGAGAGAAGTGGGAGCAGAGAGTTGGCGGAGAGGCGGACCGGTGGCGATGTCCACTCATCTTTGATCGATCAACACCGCCACGGTGATCGTTAAACTACGTACTAAAGTGCTCCCACGTCGATCCTATCTGGAACACTCAGATCTTTCCAAAACCTGGCTCCGAGTAGTTTCCCGGCTAGCCACCAGCTAATTATTTCAGCTGGACCTTTCCGCTGGCTACCGGATGTCCGTTTCCTGTGGTCCATATCTGACTGTCATCACGATATTTTCAAGTCCTGCTACTGTATACAGGTTCTGTGAATGAGAGGTAAGATGTCTCAGGTCGGAAGTCTTCCTGCTATAATTTGGATTTGGATTCTCCGACCAAATCAGAGTACTTACGTCGTAGAGGCCGACAGCGGTTCTCAAGCCCAGCCGGGTCAGTTTCAAAATGCCTGGATATATAATATCCGGGTTCCTATAGACCGTCGAAGGAATGCATCCATGACAGAACATGTAGTAGGTTCTGGAATCTACTATTGGTTGTGGAGAGTTATTTTGAAGCTCATTTCAACCACCCGGGCTTCTTTAGAAGTTATCATGTTGAGCCTTGGCTCAGCTTATATTTGCTGTCATTGCCTGCTCCCTCTACATATTTTCCCCAGGTAACACATCCATACCATAGATATCAGCAATAGAAGTAGTTCTAAAGTTGAAAAGTCATTTTACACAGTGTCTCTGGGGGGAGAGGAATATTTAATGCTGTTCTATCGGTAGTCATTTGCCATCAAATGTACGTGATTTGACTGATTTCGCGGAATGAATGGGACCTAACATTGGACACAGGCCACGGCCTACCTCGGAATGTCCTACAATTCAAAGTATCATGTTTCAGATATCTGTCTTCCAGATATCAGATTTTTAAACAGCAAAATAAATATCTGGAGGACCGCTCAAGAAAAGAGTGAAATAGGGCACTTTTAGGAGGCCTCAAACTCAATAAAGACATAGTCAAACTATACATACTCCTAGTACATATTGTAGCCAGGTTGATGAACTAAAAGTCTCCCCAGTTGACCCAGAGGCAACGAGGCCGCAATGTAACAGTAGAAGGCGATTACTAGGTACTCTGTTTGACGGAGTTTGAAGCAAGCCCCTTCTGACGAAGGCGCGCGTGGCTTGTTTGGTCTGGTCCGGCATTGCGCGGCATCGTCAGAAGAGGGCTTGTTCCGAACCTAGAGACTTGAGAGGGAAACGAGGTATTTGTGAGTGTTTGGTTGTGACCTGCGTGGCTGTGTCCCCGAACCGCCGTCGGTCACCACGACAGTCCTGGTTTATTGTTTCGACAGCAGTTCTGGAGCCGCCGAAACAATAAGTTTAGGGCATGCTGAAACTGTTACTGAAACCTATAGTTTCAGAAGCAGCTTCAACTGGACCTAAATGGCGTCCTATTGGCGTATGAGCACTCGGGCACATGACCGAGGCTCGGGGATATCTCGGGCAAGTACGCGACTCACCGTGAATTATACAGAATGAGAGAGAATGCTCAAGAACAGTACAGAACAGTATGGAATATTTATTATATGACTCAGAGTGACTCAGATAGACAGTATAAATACAGTAGGAAAAGACCACATAACCTTACGAGCTTGTACCACCCGCCCTCACGGGCATCGTGTAAATCTTATATTGATTGAACCGAATATTGCGTGAACTCAAGGATTGAATACCTTAAAGCAGAAACTCCAACACGTCCAAAATAAAAAAATTCAGGCATGCCGAAAACATACCCAAATCAAGTAATTTCGGCTTCAACTTATTATTTGAATTCCAAGGTAATGGCCCTAACGGGCGGCGCCTGGATACCCGGTTTGCACGATAGCCGACGAACATGCAGTCTTTTAAAACCTACAGAATGACCAATGCTGTCTAGTAAAACAACCTGTTTGCGCAACAGCTATATGAGCCATCTGATGGCTTTTTTGCTGTGCACACCATATGGCTTTCAGACGGCATGACCTTTGGAACAGTTCACTTATTGAGCTTACTTTGTATGTATTCTGGTCATATATGGTGCATAACACTGTCATTGCAACGTTCGCGGTTGGAGAGCCACAATTCTCGCCGGAAATTTCTATTCCCTGGTCATATTCACTGTAGTAGATGAGTGTGATGGTTAGGCAATTTTTTTTTGAGAGAGAACATGACATTTTTAACAATGGCAAACATTTCTGAGGAGAAACATGGTAGTATATCCCCAGCCATATAAGCCATTAGCTATACGGCACGCAAACTCTCTATTAGATGAGTGTGGCGCACGCGTTGTGGTTTGTTTGTGTCATGCGCGCGTGTCGTAAACACACCCCTTACACTCCCAAAAAAAAGCAGCTTATATGGCTTCGAGAACCGCCACAAGTTTGTCTCGAAACCACATAGGGGGTGGCTATGTCTTTTAAAATTTGATTTCCCATCATTCGTCTATAAGCAGTAATTTTATCTATAAAAGGAAACGGAATGTGACGTCTTTAGAATTGTGGCATTTCAGGCAGGGACACAACCTCACATCATTTTTGACCTCCTGGAGGCCATTTTTTTTTGCCCTTAATGCGAAGAAAGTGTTTTAGACCATTATTATCCATCTGGAATATCCCAAAGTCATGTCGTGGTTGAGCACAAGACACGTCGAGGTCAGGGTGACAAGTGTGACATCTTGTGACACGGCGTGTCCGCCCACTTGCAAGGCCAACACATCCACTACCACGTTCTCTAAAGGCCTGTAAATATTTCTGGAGGTTCCTGGGATGCCCTCTAACAGCCCCCGATGCCAAGATGAATTTCAGAGCCACCTTCAAGACTTGGAACTAATGTTTTACAAAAATGCAACAGAAGTTGATTTCCGTGTATATTAAGGGAGAATCTGCACCTCATTCAGTGATGTAAATATGCTTATGGGTACTCATACATATGAAATCTATACTAGAACTTATAGCTAGGGATTTGAGCAAAGACTGAGGTTGCTGTGAAGCGATTTGTGTGTCCTTTATTTGGCGGAGTTTGAAGCAAGCCCCTTCGTGCGAAGGGCCGGCTTGCCGGACCGGAGCGCGCGGGGCTTGCTCCGAACCTATCAAGTCTCTTTGTGGACGCATTGATGGCCACCAGCAGTGTACCTGGGAGTCCCGACACCCATCCGCGCAACCAAAACACCTCTTTGAAGCAGCGCTGCCCCGCCAATCCCCCCGATGTCCTAGCTCTACGAGCCGCTTGGCCCACTCGCGAATGGCGTGCTGCACCACGGAGCCACGACGCGCATCTTCCGGCACACTGTACTTGTCTGCGTGCTCTAAAGTTCTCTGTGGCTTTTATGGATCCGCCGGTTCTCGGTTGCCAGGTGCTCAGCGCGTCGGGGACGGTGGGTGGGTGGCGTGCTTTCGTTATCAAGACGCGACTCAGCATCGTTCGTTTCTCAAAGTTTCTGAATCGCTCGTGGTCCTTGCCGTCTCTTGCTTCATTATTCTCAGCTTATCTCCATGGCCTCCGTCTGTGCATCCTATCCACCTCCTTGCCTGGTTTCACCAGCACTCTTTGCTGCGTACCCTTCCTTCCACTCCCTCCCTCCACCTCGTCTCATTGCCGATGCATTCAATCCCTTCTTCCTTCTTGCCTTGTATCCTCCCTCCCTCCCACACTTTGCTCTGTCTTCCAGCGGTCTTGTCCCACTTCCTGTTTCATCCACCCCTGTCTCTATTCCTCTCTGCCTCAATCTACCTACCTCCCCCGTCAACGGGTCTCCTTCAAATCATATACACGCCTTCGCGCTCCACTTGCCTTCGCGCCATGATTAACATTAACTCCTTCTCCCCTTCTTCATGTCCGCGTCCTATCACCATCCTCGCACCTTCTCCGTCCTACCCTCCTTGCTCCGAGTTCCTCCACCCTCTCCCATATAAATGCACGCGCATTTAAGTACAAGTGGGATCAGGACCCGTTCAGTCGGCGTCCGTACTCGATGCTCTTTATTTGTTCGTTTTTTGATCTGATGGTATGTATGCACGGCTAGTATCTGCACCAATTCCGATGCCTCAAGTCAAGCGCACCACGAGCCAATACCGGCCTGGTAGCACAACGGTTCCGTGCGTCTGCTTCTATTACGCTGTGTACAAGTAAGATTTTTGGGCAGAGGATCCCCGTTCGACTCGAGCCAGGCTTCGGTTCGTTTTTAAGTTTTACTTGAAATTCTACTATACGCGTGGAATGGTCATTGAACTTGAGAAGCTTACCAAATGAGAACGGCCTGGTAGCACAACGGTTTCGTGCATCTGCTTGCAATGCACCAAGTGGAAATAATTTCAGCAGAGGATCCCGTTCGACTCGGGGCCAGGCCATTCCCCTTTCGGTCTAGTTTCTACATTTTAGTACTTTAAATTTTACGATATGCGTAGAATGTCATTCATTCAGTTTGAGAATCGTGTCGACCCAGGACGGCCTGGTAGCACAACGGTTTCGTGCATCTGCTTGCAATGAGTACAGCGTTCATTATAAGTTCGGCAGAGGATCCCCGTTCGATTCGGGGCTAGGCCATGGCATCTGGAAGAGGTTGCTCTTCTACATCTATTTCTTCCCCTTTTTTTCGTTCCGGGAGTTTCTTTAATTCGCGTTCGAGTGGATTCTCGCGTCCCACTGCGTACGAGAACAGGAACACCACGTTAATTACTACGCCTACTATTGAATCTGACTCGTTACTTGCACGGGCCGGCACCCGCAGCGCCTCTTACACCCACACCCACCCCTCCACCCAATAGCTCCCGCCACGACGCACTACACACAATAGTCCACAAACTCCTGCATCCGCGCCGCCACGCGCGGCGCGAAGCGGAACGCGCGGAGCTTGTCGCCGAACGTGCGCGCGATGCGCGCGAGGCCTTCTTTTAGCGCTGCGGAAAAGGGTTAGCGTCTGGGCGTATTGCGGGTGGGAGAAGGGGGAGGTGGGGGGGGGCGTCGGGAGCAACGGCAAGGGGAAGGGACAAGAGGAAGGGGCGGGTGGGGAGTACAGAGGAAAGAAAGACAGCAAAGCAAGGTCGTCCAAGGTGGAAGCGACGCGGAAGCACAAAAATCCAAAACAAACGACGAAAGAAACACTCACCATCCCCCACATCCCCCAACACCGCGCGCGCCTCCTCCAGGTCCCGCGCCTCCGCCTCCCTCTCCTCTCTCCTTTCTCTCTTTTCCTTCTTTTCTCTCTCCTCGCGCCCCCCCTCCCCTTGTCCGCCGTCGGCATGTTCTCCGTCGGCGTCGACGCCCGTTCCATCAGACGGAGGCGCAGCAGGCCGCAGCGCCCCCTGCGCGCGCTCCACCTCCCCCAGGAACGCGACGAGCGCCTCGACCACGCGCGGGATGTCGCGCTGCACGACGCCGAGTCGGTCCTCCGCGAGCGAGGCGCAGGTGAGGCGCGTCAGGACTAGGTGCGGATGTCAGCTTGGCACGAGGATAGGCGGAATCGGAGGAAAAGAGCGGGAGCGACGGGGCGAGGAAGAGTGGGAGGAGAGAAGCAGAGAGCGAACCCGACGCCGAAAACAGCACGAAGAAAGCACGTACCCCCAACAACAGCAACACACACCTCCCTTCGCGGCACCCACCCCCCACCTCCCGCCCCCGCCGCGCCACCGTCCACGCCTTCCCGATCCGCCCCATGCCCTTTCCCATTACGCTCCCCATTATCCCCATCCCCATCCCCCTCCCTAATATCCCCATTCCCCCGCCCGCGAGCCCCCCGATCGAAGCAGGGAGCCCCACCCCCCCGATCCCCGCAGGCAGCCCCAAGCGCGCGCCCCACGCGCGCCACCCCCACTCCCCCGCCGGCAGCGGAATCCGCACGCCCTCGAGCGCGGGCACGACGAGCGCCTCGACCGCGCCCCCGCTCGCGAGCGCCTCGCCCACGCGCGCGCCGGGCGACGCCACCGCGCGCGGCGCGAAGATGTTCTCCTTGCGCGCGGCGAGGGGCGTCACCGGCGGGCCGTTGTGCTGCATCTTCGAATCCACCGCAGGAGACGACGGAGAAGCAGCAGATCCAGCCGACGCAGCAGACGAAGCAGACGACGAAGCCGCCTCCCCCCCGCGCGCCCGCAGCACCTGATACTCGCGCCCCAGCAGCACCAGCGCCTCGCGCACCAAGCGCGCCCACACGTCCGCCTCAAACGCGCCCGCCCGCCCCGCGGCGTCGGCGTCGGGCGCGGCCGCGAGCGCGAGGAGCTCAGCGTATGCGAGGTGCGTGTAGATCGTGGGGGGCGCGGCGGGGGGAGGGGCGCGGGCGCGGGCGGGGCGGGCGGGGCGGCGAGGAAGGAGGGGCGCGCGAGGGATGAGGGCGTGGAGAACGCCGAGGCGGAGGCGGAGGAGAACGCCGAGGAGGAGTACGCGGAGGGCGGGGGCGCGGGGGTCGCGGCGACGGAGATGCCGGAGACGAGCGCGCGGATGGAGGGCGTCGTGCGGAGGGGCTGGGAACGGTGTCAGTAGGTGTATAGGGAGAACATGAGCGAAACGAAACGAAACGAAAGTGGAGAAGGGGAAGGAGAAGTAGAGTGGGGGGAAGGATAGCCGGACATGAAGGAAGGAAAGGGAAGGAACGAGCGGACGGGATGGGGAAGGGAGTAGATGGTGGAAGGGAGGCCTAAGAGGAGGGAGGGACGGAAAGTGCAGAGGGTGTGCAGGCAAAGCACGGGTAGGATGAGGAGGTAGGTTCGCGGGGAAGGAAGAAAGGAGGGCGGGGAAGAATATGAGCGTAGTACGTAGGGAAGGACTTGAGTCGGGCTCAAGGGAACGAACGGAAGCGCGCCGAGACGCGGGCGGAAAGAGGGTGCAGGATGCGGGGCGGGGCGGGGTGGAGAGACGATGCCGGGACACGGGAGGAAGGAAGGAGCGGGATACAAGGAAGGAAGGGAGCAGCGGTAGGAAACGAAGGGAGGCGGTGCGGGGATGGGTGGAAGAGCAGGGTGCGGAAGGCCGTCGAGATGCGCAGCCCGACGAGGGAACGCATCTGCAACGACGGGACGACGGGTGCCCTCATCTCGTGCCGCGGGGGGTACGCATAAGGAGGGGATGAAAGGAGCCGGGACGAGGATGGGCGACGGAAAGAGCAAGAGGAAGATAAAAGGACGAGAAAGAGATAGAAAGAGGAAGAGATAGAAAAAAAAACGTACCTCGCCAACAGCCCAGCCCCACACGCCCGCGGCGGCCTCCCACAGGCCCGCCGTCTGCACGCCGAGCGCCCACGCGCGGCCCGCGGAGCGCAGCACGCTTGCGCGCGGGGCGCGCAGCGGGCGGAGGGGGAAGGACACTGTGGGTTGGTTAGCAGTAGTATTTGGTTGGGTGCGGTGAAAGGGGACGGGGACGGGGAGGGAGGTAGAAGTGGCAGAGTGGGACGCATGAGGCGCCGGTGGATGGAGAAGGAAGGAAGAGGAAGAAAGGAGACGCACGGATGGGCACGCGCCGCGCGAGCGGGAGGACGATGAAGAGCGCGACAAGCGCGAGAGGGAGGGCCGCGAGCGGGAGGACGAGCGGCGCAAGGAAGGCGCCGGGGGCGGGGGTGAGGGCCGGGCGCTGTGGGTCGAGTTAGCGTTTGTTGTAGTATGTAGGCGAAAGGATTGTGGGAGGAAGGCACAAGGATTATGGAAGGTAGGCCAAGGAGAACGGCGAGGGAGGGAAGGAGCACGTAGAGCAGGAGAGAGGGAAGAAAAGTGGAAGTGGGAAGTAGCAAAGAGCTCGAGAAAGACAGACGCACGCGGAACGGGAAGACCCAGACGTCGCGCAGAACGGCGCGCAGGACGTAGAGCGCCGCGAGCGCGGTCTGGCTGAGCGCGAGCAGAACGAGCACGGGGTGCGGCGTGTACGGGTGCTTCCTATCCTTGGTGTCAGTGCGTGGTCTTTGAAATGAAAGAGAAGAGAGAGGGACGCGCACCGGGACTTGATGAACACGGGGAGCGCGGGGTCGAGCGCGGCGTGCAGCGCGAGAACGCAGAGCGCGGAGAGGACGTGCGCCTGGAGGGCGCGGTGCGTGCGCGCGCGCAGCGGCGGCGCGAACGATTTTTGGACGAGCAGCGCGGGCGAGGCCGCGCTCGTGCGCGTTACTGCGCACGCCGTCAGCTACAAAGGACGTGGCATCGATACGATTCACCCACCCGTCAGATACGCCTTCCTTAGCAGTAAAACAGGCAGCACGCCGCCGGCCCACAGGGCCCCCGACGCGCCGAGCAGCCGTGCAATAGAAAACCGGCGGATCCAGAAGAGCCAGAGCGCGCTCGAAATCACGCAGACGAGCGCGGTGTACGGGAAGATGCGCGTCGTGAGGCGGCGGTGCAGCACGCCCTTTGCGAGCGGCTCGTAGAGCTGGGACGCCGGGGGGATTGGAGGGGCGGCGCTGCTTCGGAGAGGTGTTGTGATTGCGCGGATGGGCGTCGGGACGCCCGGGTACACACCGCGCGGGCTGTTGCTGGCCATCGACGCGTCGACAAAGAGGGAGGTCGAGGAATGGATTTGTGAGTATTTGGCTGTGGCTTGTGTGGCTGTGTCTCTCAACTCTTTCCGGACGGTCAACACGAAAATCCTACTAATACTGTATTATTTCGATCAATTCGACAGGGGGTGTGACCCGTGACCCAAAAAACCAGTTCGACAATTCGACAACCACCGAATTTTAGCGTGACACCCTTCAAAATTTCGACATCCGAGACGCAAAATTTAGGTTTTTAGCATGGTTGAGAGAAATTTGGGCCAGTTACTGGTGTTGTGGGTAAATTCATAAGCAGAATAATAAAATCCCAAAAAGGAAAGAGGGAGAGGGAGAGGGAGAGGGAGAAGAGAGAAAAGACATTTGGGTTCATCCTCTGTGAATTTCGAATTGAGATCAGTATACACTCACATCTACATCCCCGCCTACTCAAAATATTTTTTTCCGGCCTGCGGCGCAAGTTTTGAGCAGAACGGCTTTATCCGGCTTTAGCCGAGTAAAATCGTGTGAGATTGCCGTTTTAGATTAAATGGACCGGGTACTCGTGTGTTCCCGCGGCCGGTCCTGTGGTTGATGGAGATGCTGGGTCACTCGAAAGGGTAAATTAGCTCGGCAAATTTCGGCAACACACCACATGCGCAAACAACGCGTCAAACTTTCAATCCTTCGTTGCCGTTCCACACGTTCCCGCCGCAGCCATTTAAGCCATCAAAAATCACACCTTATCATCGAATTACTACCTATGTGCTTGTTCTTAATTATTAATGTCCCGGATCTGGGGAAATGGTGGCAGAACTCCTGAATCTTGCTGAGGACGATTTGCATTGAACTTGCAGAATACCGAAGGACGAAGTGATGTATGTGTGTTCAACGTGTTTGCATGAAAGTTAATTAAAAGTAGCATCTGTGAATTTACATTCTACTAGTGCTGCTAATATTGTGGAATGTGAATGTTGGTTGATTTGAACTCACTTGCCCCAAACCCAGCGCTGTTCGTGCAGCCTTTGTGAGATCATCCTTGTCCAAATCTTGCGCTGGAACACATCTTCGAACATCTGGCTTCTTTGAAGAGCGACCAGCA